TATATATATTATTTCCTAGCCCTAGGTTGGGTTTTATGTCCAAACACTTTACATCACTCAGTATAAGATGTTTGTTGTTTGTGCTTTGGTCTTTTGTTCTTTAGATTCAAACAGTTATTATGATGTAGGACATCACACTTCACAGTGAAGATGAATATTTTTGTGCAAAGCCCTCGGCTGCAATGCATCCTTTAGAAGCAATAATATTACTCTGCAGTAAGAAGTTTAGTTCTTTGCTCTTCCATCATTTTATTGATTTTATCATTCATCACTTTTTTTCTTCCTCTTTTGTCAGATAACAGCCTTTGATGAGCTCCAGGCTGACTTCAAGGTGCCAATCGATCAGGGCAATCCACTCCATGCGGTAGGTTTCCTTTTCTCTCCCTGAACTGATTTATATTAAAAACATTTTTCTTTGTGTCGTGCTTTGTTAGTTTGAAAATAGCACATTGGAAAATACAATAATAAAACAATTATAATAAAGACTTTAGCTGCTTTCCTAAGTTACATTCTTATGTTCTCATTCTGTCTCTGCATTATTTTCCCTTTTAACAACTTTCCTCACAGATATATTAACCCTCTTTGACTGAGCTCATGACAGAACTTTAGGTCAAAACATCTTTTTTCCCAAATAAACATAAATAATGTAGATAAATAAGTAGATGAAACATAGATATGTTTATTTTATTAACTTTTATTTAACCTGGCAAATCCGATTGAGATCACAGATCTATTTAGCAAAGGAGGCCTGGAGACAACTTATTTTATATGTTTCTGGACTGTAGGTTAAACCAGAATACACACAAGCACGAGAAGAACATGCAAACTCTGCACAGAAAAACCCCAGGTCCGAACTGCGGATTGAACACAGGACCTTCTTGATGCCAAGTCCTCAGTGCTAACCACTGAACCACTGTGCTGCATAAAAAATAAATTACAAATAAACAAAAATGAAAATAAAATATAGGTCAAGGTCCACATCGACAACTGGAAAAAAAGTAAACACTACAGGCTGTGTTGTTTTTGTTTTGTCTTTAATTACACATTATTGAAAGCAAATGTTTTTCATTTAAAAAAAGAAGGTATAACTTGTTTGGTTGTATTTTATTATTAACTTCTGCAATGAAAGCAGTGTCTGCATCTGGTTTTTGATTTTGTAGAACTTTTTCTATCATAATGACTCACAGAACCAGATTTCCTTTTGAGGATCAAACCCCAGTCTTAATATAACAGATCCTTAATTTTGGATTTGGGGTCAGGTTTAAGACTAACTTGTGAACTGATTTCAGGTTAGGCTTGTACTGGTAATGGTTGAGCCTAGGGTTGTTATGCTACCGAAATGAATGGAAGTAAATGGAATGAAGTCCTAAAAAGAATAGGAATACAGATGGGTGTGTGTGTGTGTGTGTGTGTGTGTGTTTGTTTGTGAGAATGCATATCTACATAATTTTAAGTTATTAACCATTATGAATTGGGGGGGGGGGTAATAAGCAAAATTAACATTTTTGATCTTCATATCATATTATAATAATGTCATTCCATAATCAAAACCGTACCCATACCACATACCATAAAGTGTTACATGTTTAATAAATCCTTGAAACTCCTGTGGTAGCCATGTGGAGCTGCCTAAATGCTTTCTGGTACAAAGCCTGCATATTTGTACCTAGCTCCTTCATGGAGCTCAGTCTGCAGTCCGTGGCTGCAACAATTAGCTGCACATCTATTGTTGTCTTGTAATACTAACTACTTCTCAGTCCATCCGTCTGTTTTCTTCCTCTTATCTGGGGTCAGGTCTCGGGGGCAGCAGTCTAAGCAGAGAGACCCCGTCTTCCCTCACCCCAGCCACTTGGGCTAGCTCGTCCGGGGGAATCCCAAGGCGTTCCCAGGCCAGCTGAGAAACATAGTAGCTCCAGCTTGTCCTGGGTCTTCCTCTGGGTCTCCTCCCAGTGGGACATGCCTGGAACACCTCACCAGGGAGGCGTCCTGCAGGCATCCTAACCAGATGAACCACCTCAACTGGCTCATCTCGATGTGGAGGAGCAGCGGCTCTACTCTTGAGTCCCTCCCGGATGACTGAGCTTCTCACCCTATCTCTAAGGGAGAGCCCAGACACTCTGCAAAGGAAACTCATTTCTGCCTCTTCTATCCATGATCTCATTCTTTCAGTCACTACCCAAAGCGCGTGATCATAGATGAGGGTAGGAACGTAGACCGATTGGTAAACGCAGAGCTGTGTCTTTTGGCTCAGCTCTCGGAAGACCACGACAAACCAGTACAGTGCCTGAATCACTGCAGACGCAGCACCAATCTGCCTGTCAATCTCCCGCTCCATTCTTCCCTCATTCGCTAACAAGACCCCGAGATACTTAAAGCAGGGGTTCTAAACCTTTTTGACCTCGGGGCACAATTTGTTGAACATAATGAGGCATGAGGCCCAGTCAGACATTACCAATGTATGGATCAAAATTATAATTATTCTAAATATTGGTTTAATTTTATTGTATTTACATCATAACTAAACTATCGTAACAAACATAACTAAATTAAATACACATACAGTTTAAAAGTAAAACTCCTGTCAAATAATAACAAGACATTTTATATTGTAACCTGCCCATAACAATCATTTGAACAAATACAAAGGTCAGTCAACAGACCACTCAGGCTTATCAGCACATATATTCTTTAACATAAACAATAACAAAAATAGACAATGCATAAAATTCAATTGTGAGCATTAAATAAATAAATTAAAAATGTTTAATGTACATGTTTCAACTAAAAAAATTACAAATAAATTTGATAAAGTACAAATGAAAATAAAGCCTTTTTAAACTTTTGCATCCAGAAGCTGCTCTTCATATTAGTGACAAAAATAACAGTAACAACAACTTTTTGACAAGTTTAAAATTCTTTAAAATACATTCAAAATGTTTAAAAATAAACTATAAAAATTAATTTAAAGTGCAAATTAAAATACAGTTGTATCTGCAACTGTATTTGATAATGTTTTGAACTTTTAAAATATTGCATGGTAAAAACAGAAGCTGCACTTCATATTAGTGACAAACTTTGGTGTTTTTTGATGAGTTACTTTCATTTTTGTTTCTACTTTTCATTTGAAATATGTTTCCATTCTCAACAGGTTTCGAAGGTTTTTCTTCTACATATTAAAACAGTTATTGAACAACTGAATGGCGCACTACTGCTACTAGTGGTGAGAAACTGTATTGCACCTTATTAAAAATCTGTCCCGTGGCCCAAAGTTAAAAACTTGTTCTTTTGAGGCCCTCAAGATGGCGCGGGCCACGGCCCATGGGTTAAGAATCTCTGACTTAAAGGGATCCATGATTAGTTGTAACATTAGACTTTATTTGATAAACATTTGATAAGCATTCCGGATAAGTGATGATGCGGATAGGTCATTGGTGTGAGCGAGCTATATCCACCCTGAAGGTTAATCTTGGACAATATCTGACGAATGACTCTTAAATGAAACTAGAGTGCATTGACAGAGAGAAGGCAGAAACAATCAGGCTACAACTGTAAGTGTGGATGCAGCCTCGCACCTATCCATGTTATCATTTACCGAGAATGCTTTGCGTGTAAATAAAACAGCCCATCCATGTAATACAGTATGTTTTTAAACTTTTAGTTTAAAAATATAAAAACTAAACATCCTACAGTATTTTTACAATATTTATTTTGCAGTTAACAAATATGTTTATCAAATAAAGTCTAATGTTACAACTAACCATGGATCTTTTTAAACTCCTCCACTTGGCGCAGGACCTCTTCTCCAACCCGGAGAAGGCACCCTACCCTTTTCCGGCTCAAGACCATAGTCTCATATTTGGAGGCACTGATCCTCATCCCGGCTGCTTCATACCCAGCTGCAAACTTCTCCAATGAGAGCTGGAGATCACGATCTGATGAAGCCAGTAGGACCACATCATTCGCAAAAAGCAGAGATGCAATCCTAAGGTCACCAAAACAGATTTCCTCAACACCTTGACTGCACCTAGAAATTTTGTCCATAAAAGTTATGAACAGAATCAGGGACAAAGGCCAACCTTGGCATAGTCCAACTCTCACTGGAAATGAGTCCAGCTTACTATCGGCAATGCGGATCAAACTTAATTTCAAATAGTTTGAAATTAATATAATTTTTTGTTGTAAATAAGAGCAAATATCATAAGATTTTTTTCCTTCTTTATTAGAAGAAAATCTTAGAGAGATGAACCACCCTGAGAATCTTAGAATCTTTATTATCCCCGAGGGGCAATTTGTTGTACAGCCAATAGACATAAAAAATACCTAAACAAAAACACTCCTACACAAAAATTACAGATGTTTGTTAAGAAAGGTGCTCTATTGGATTGAGATCTGGTGACTGTGGAGGCCATTCATATACAGTGAACTCATTGTCATGTTCAAGAAACTAGTCTGAGATGATTCGTGCTTTATGACATGGAGCGTTATCCTGCTGGAAGTAGCCATCAGAAGATGGTACACTGTGGTCATAAAGGGGTGGACATGGTCAGAAGATGGTACACTGTGGTCATAAAGGGGTGGACATGGTCAGCAACAATACTCAAGTAGGCTGTGGTGCTGACACAATGCTCAATTGGTACTTATGGGCCCAAGGTGTGCCAGGAAAATATCCCCACACCATTGTACCACCACCAGCCTGAATCATTGATACAAGGCAGGATGGATCCATGCTTTCATGTTGTTGATGCCAAATTCTGACCTTACCGTCCAAAGGTTGCAGCAGAAATTCAGACTCATCAGACCAGACAACGTTTTTCTAATCTTCTTTTGTCCAATTTTGTTGAGTCTGTGTGAATTATAGCCTCAGTGTCCTGTTCTTCGCTGACAGGAGTGGCACCTGGTGTGGTCTTCTGTTGCTGTGGCCCATTTGCCTCATGGTTTGAGGTTTTGTGCGTTCAGAAAGGCTTTTCTGCATACCTCAGTTGTAATGAGTGGTTATTTGAGTTACTTTCGAACCAGTCTGGCCATTCTCCTCTGACCTCTGGCATCAACAAGGCATTTGTGTCCACAGAACTGCTGCTCACTGGATATTTTCTCTTTTTTGATCATTCTCTGTAAACCCTAGAAATGGTTGTGCGTGAAAATCCCAGTAGATATGCAATTTCTGAGATACTCAGCCCAGCCAACCCATTCTTACTCCCAAGTCGTCACATATTGATGCTTTTCCAAGGTTCCCTCTGTGTCAGATTTTGTCACGTCGGGTACCCCCCTCATGTCAGTTCTTGACGAGATGGGGCAGAATCCATTTTCATAATTTCAGAAAGTGTAGAAAATGCACAAAAACCACCATCCCAAAGCCTAAATTTA